TTCTCACACCGTCCGCTTTGGGAGTCACAAGGGGCCCGTCTTGCATGCTTTTCCCGAGCCTGCCAGGCTAAGCCGGCGTGGAGCGCCGGGGTGAGGGATGCGGGATGGACCGAGGGATGCGCTTGCTCGGGAGGGTGGGCAGAGGGCGAAAGGCTTCAGACGTGGAGAGGAGCCCGTTCCTGGCAGCCGGGCGCGCTGCCCGCAGCACCGCTGTCCTGTTCCTGTAGAAAGAGTTGCTGTGAGTGCGGAGACAGCGTGAGGGCAGTGATGGATGGATGGACGATGTGTCCATGGAGCAGCTCAGCCGGAGCTGGCTCGGACCCAGTGCCCCCGGAGGCGCCACTGCGCATCTCCGTTCGCCGCGGCGGCGGCACCGGCGCTGCGTCGCGGGTCGCTCTCCTCCCGCACGGGCTTTTCGGGGGCACGGGCCGGGCAGGGGGATCGAGGCCCCGCGGCCGGGCCGCTCCCGGATGGGAGGAAGCGGCGGCGGCGGCACCGGACCGGGCTGCGCCGCGTGCTCCCGCGGGCGCCGAGGTGAGCGGGGGCGCGGGGACCCCCGGGCCGGGCGAGGCTTCCGCGCTGCCGGGGGGGCGCGACCGGGCAGTGCAGGGGGGTCGCCACCCTCCTGCGTGTGTCCTTCGCCGCCTTCCCGAGGCGTAGGAGGAGGGAGCGCTCCCGGGGAGACGGGCTCCCCTTCCCGCGGGACCCCGGGCCCGGCCGGCCCCTGGCACAGCGGGAGAGCCCCTGCCGCCGCTCCGCTCGCACGGCGGGGCGGGCGCTGTCCCGGGCGCTGTCCCGAGCGCTGTCCCGGCTTTCTCCCGCAGGGCGAGCGCTGCCCCCGCCGCGTCCTGCGGGGCACAGCGGGGTCGGGGCGCTCCCACCGGGCCAGGGCGCGTCTCGGGCGCCGGGGTCCGGCGGAGCCGGAGGGCGGCGGGCGCGGTGTTACCCCGGGTGCAGCCGAGCCGCCAGCGCCCTCCGCCGTGCCCCGTGGCCTGCGGCTTCGGTGGAAGAGAATTACGGAGTAAGGATCTGTCGCGGCCCCTCGGGTGGTCCCGGCGGCAGGGCCCCCACAGGGCCCCGCAGCCTGGCACCCGGTCCGGGCGGAGAACACGGCGGTGGGGCCGGGCTCCTCCCGAGGGAGCCCTTTCCCTGCGGCGGGGCGAGCGCGGCACCTGTGAGCCCGAAAAAAAAATAGCCGGAGTCGAGCCCCCCGGCCAGGCCCCGTCAGGTCCGTGCCCGGCCCGGGCCGGCTGGCAGGGACGCGGTGCCGCACGGCGCTTTTGTGGGATGCATGGAGCGAGGAATTGCGATGTCGCTGAATAGCGTGAGCTGCGTGTTCTTTGTAACCCGCAGATTTTGGCAGGATCAGGGGATGATTATCGGCGTTTGCAGCTCCTCTGTCTGCAGTCAGACACTAGTTGCTCGCTTTGCCTTTCGTAGGGTTGTTGTTGAGACACAGACACCCAAATGCTGTGGTTGGGCTCGGCGCTGTTCTCATGAGAACTTGGAGGGTGCCTGATACAGAAACGTGGGCAGGAGAGAACTTAAGGTGTGAGTTAAAGGGAGTCAGTCATGTCTTGCAGCATGAATTATGAAATGCCCTTCAGTGCGTCGTGCACCTCACCTGTTCATTTGTGTATGCAAACACAATCTGTGTCCGTCTCAGTGGCAACTGCCTTTTTTGCAAGAAACAAATTACTTTAGAGTGTTTCTCTTACCTGGGGAGAAAGTTGTCCCCATCCTCTAACTTTTAAATTACATTTCCAAGTTAGAGTAGCTTGACTAAAACAATGAATGAGACAAAGAAATAAAATGTTTCTTTTATGCCAAATATGGACACAATTAAAACGTGCAGTAAAGATGTTACTTTAGAGCTTTGGTGCTTCTCCGGCTGTTTTGGATTACAAACATGCAACAATGAGGTATAATTGCAGCGTCTTAAACATTTGTTCTTTGGTTGATTTCTTTTTCCCCTTTAATCATTTGAAAAGTGTGGAGAGGCTGCTTAGGAGTTAAAATTTTGCTTGGCTTCTATTATGCATCCTGGTCCCAGCGTGTCTTGGTAATCTGTAGCTCACAGTTGGAACGGCTGCAGTGTTCCCCACCTCCTCTTGCTGTACTTCCTGCTCAGAGGCACCTGCTGATAGCAGCAAGCAGCCCAGAACCTGTCCTGGCTGCCAGCTTCTCTCCTCTCCCACCCACGGTAGCGGTGGGAGCCCCGCTGGGAACGGCTTTGAGCTGCTGCTCCCGAGAAGGCAGCATGAGAAGGGAATTTTGACCAGTCTCCTGGTATCGGGTAACTCGAGACTGCCATCCTCTTACAAGCAGGTGACCTCTGTCACCTGGATCGTGCTTATCTGTCAGAAAACAAAGCTGAATGCCAGCCTTTATGCTGTGCCTTTCCTTTCGTGCCTTCCTTCCAAATGCTGATTCCTCCCCTTTCCTGGTTCTGGCTGTTACCTCATCTGAAGCAGTGTGGGGTTTGTTGGATTGAAAACAGTTTTTCCTGTTCTATCTATCTTTACATCTAGGTTGGGATGTTTTCTTCCTCGTGCCTTCTCCACTCCTTTCACTAGGAGTGTCCCTTGTCTAGCGCAGAAGCGCTCAGGTCTGAGATCAGTCGTTTTCCTCCCCTGTGTGTTAGTGCTGGGACTCTGGTGATTCATCTCCTACAACTCTGTTCCATTAGGATTTGATCCTGTTTTTCCTAAAGCATATGGATTTATTGAAAGTCTCAAAATGAGGTTCTTGAATGTTGCCTGGGGCATGGTTGGTCAGTCTGTCTGTGTCTTTTTCGACATTTTTTTGGTGAATGTGTGGGAACCCAAGTTAGAAAATAATAATGTTGAGTACTGCTTTGTGTGATGGTGGAAAACTAGCTAATACATTTTTCATTTTTAAATAAGTAGTAGGGAGGAAAAGTGTTTTTCCTAGTTGAGTGTTTCTTTAAATTAATGCAATACTTAATTGCTTTGAGTGGTTAATCTCCTTCCACCACCTTGCACCTGCTTTTTTATGCCTCTCTGCTTCTATGATCATGAATTTGGGAGGAGAGGCGTGAACATGCAGAGCCCTGTAATAGCAGCTGGGCATTAATGCTGACTTAAGTTTGAAACACTCTATCCTGATCCACTTTCTTTGTAGCTTCTCTCCTTTTTACCATGCCATTAAAATATTTTCCATCATGCCTGTGATTTATACAGGTTTTTATATATGTTTTCTACTCTTGTAAACACCTGGATAACATAAGGTATGAGACTGGAAAATCTGAAGCAGGAGAGAGGAGTTCATTGTTACCTGAGCAAGGTTTTGAGAAGAAAAGGTACAGTGGATGATTTTGTGTTGTTTTCTATTGATTTCAGTGAAGCTGTGAGTGGCTGAGTCCTTGCAGACCAAGAGAGAATTTGCCCTAAGGCTTGTTTCTGTGACTTGGGTCTGTTCGTTCATGTATGGTCTAGTGATGGATCTCTGGCAAAAATAGCGAAGTTTTTTCATCACTGTTATAAAATGTCAAATTGATCTGGGTTGCTATTAGCTCTGTGTGAACCCTGCTGAGGAGGCATGCCACTAAGTCAGTGCCAAATTTCTGATCTGATGTTGTTCTTGTGCCAGTGCATTACTTGAGCTTTTTCTGGTGAGTTTTCCTGAGACTGAGTTTTCCTCAGAGGCTGTCTGTCTCCTATCTAAGTTTGTATTGTGTGGCATCTTTGAATTTTTAACATTTTTTCTTGTAAATTCCCAAATCTTTTTTTTTTTGAGATAGCTTCCAAATTTCCATAAAATCATGAGATTCCTCATTGGTATGCATTGCATTTGAAACACTTCAGTTTTTCTCTGAGACTTATGAATTAAATCTGTTTCGACAGACTCAGCATATCAAAAGTGTGGGGTTTGTGGAAGTCATGCTCATATCTGAAGGTTTGCTGCTAATAACAGCATTTATATTTAGAAGGTGGCAGTATAAGAAAAGTCTTAAACCCCACTGTGACTCCTGTTAAGTTGTTTTATGAGATAATCTAGAGGTAAAAACTTCACAAAGTATTTAAAGCTTTGCATATGTGCAATGCTTAGGGATGTGTAGGGTCCTGTTCCTCTTACCAGCTTCTCTGTCCTTTCTCTCTCTGTTATGGAACTGGCACTGTTAACCTGGATGCTGAAGTAAATTATAAAGGACAGCTCAATCAAACTGTGGTCTTTCTTCTCTGAGTGTATTTTGGGAGGTAGTGCAGCCAGACTAATAATACTTTTAAGTTCATGCTCAGCGAACACGGAGACTTTAGGGACTGTACACTATCTTTGCCCTTATTGATATTTGTGTGAAAAATACAAAGGCAAAAAAAGTAGTACACTATGCTAGACTGTTAAATCATCAGCAAATTTTTAGCTGTTTTTATGCAGTTTGGGTTTGAACCATGGGTTTAGAAGATTCAGACAGGGAACAGGGTCTGCAGTTAATCCAATACCATAGTTAGTACTGTGTGCAGTCATCCTTAAAAGCATACCTGAAATTAGCAGTGGAATAATATTTGTTTTAATAATTTGAGAAAACTGTATTCTCTTACAAAATTGCACTGAATGGAGATTAACAGGTAGTTTTGATGCTCACTGTGGGTGATTTAGAGGTATTCTTGTGTTTATATGTGTTCTTGAAATCTAGGCACCTGAAGCTGCTTGAAATCTTGGTGTGGATAAATGTAAAACTATTGCCCTGAGAAAGGCTTTTGATTCACTAAATTTCCCTTCTGGATTGAAAGCTTGATAGCTGTTGTACCTCAGTTTTGGTGCCTTTTCAGTGCGAGGGACAGTGTCCAGTGTCTGTGATCTGAGTGTCGCTATTGTCCTTTGTCGCAGGTTGCGGAGATGGTACAGTCCCCTCTTGTGCTGCCGCCGCTGGCAGGTAGGGTTTGAGAGGGCGTGATCCCAGCGGCTGCCGCGCTGCCTGCTCAATGTTCCAAGCCCATCCAAGGAAGTAACACTCTCCCCTTCGGGGAGGCTGTAAAATGCATGTTATGAATTGTCTCTCCTTGGTCAATGATAAAGAAAATGGGGCAGTTCCAGTTGCGACGGGATTGATGAGCGAGGATGCGACGACGGCGCCTCAACTTTCTCAGCCTGCAGCATCGCCGCCCCCCGCGCCATGTCCCCTCACGGGGGCTCCCCCGGCCCCTCCGCTCCCCCCGGGAATGCCACCCCCACCGCCACCCCCTCCTCCGCTGCCTGGCCCCAACATACCCCTTCCTCCTCAGCTGGTAAATGGGCACGACAGCCACGGCAAAAAAAAACGAATGCGGAGCTTTTTCTGGAAAACTATCCCTGAAGAACAAGTCCGTGGTAAAAACAATATCTGGACAATTGCGGCAAGACCACAGTATCAAATTGATACGAAGACAATTGAGGAACTTTTTGGGCAGCAGGAGGAAGCCAAACCCCAAGACTCCCGAAACCGATCTTTAAAGTCTTCATTTAAAGAGACTAAAGAGGAGGTAAGAATTAAAGTAAAACCTCTTTTTTTACATAATGCTGTAGGAGTTTATATGAATTCTGCCTCGCCTTTTTCTCTTTCTCTGTCATGTTTCATCCTTACGGCAAATTTGTCTTGATTCAAAGGAGAGGGGAATGATGGGAAACATAAACTCTTTGTTCTTAGTGGCACATATTTGTTTTTCAAAGAGCTAACTGTGTTTTATTATTTTAACTTGCTAAGTGCTGTGATTTGATCACCTGTTAAAATAAATATGAATAAGCGGAGGGAGCTGAAAGCATCTGTATTTACTCATGTTGGATAGCCCTTGAGTTTCCAGTGTGGAACACAACTGTATTATCTCTTCAACTCTTGCTCTGTGTCTGTGATGCAAGCAAGATGTTGTACATGCAGACACGTACCAGGCAGGAGAGAAGAGAATCCTATTTGCAAGGGTTAAAGCTGTATATGCCCACAGTATCCTAGAGACATCAGGAAGGGAAGTGCCAGTATGGCAGCAAGGATATAGAACGTAACGTAGTGATTAAGGGTATTTGTTATTTCATAATTTCATAAAGTTTCCACTTTCATAAACATGACTTTCCTGCTAAGAAAAACTTCATCTTCCCTGTTTTTTCTGGAAATGAAGATAACCTTCCAAGGAGGTCCCAAGATTGCCACTGATTTCTGCTCTGGTGAGGAGGAGTACTCTGTACTGAGTACTCTCAGGTTCAAACACTCTCCAGGGAAGTGATAAGTAGCTTTTCTAGTTCTTAAATCCTCATTTATAGACAGCCTCTTTGTGAAGCCAGAATTGAATTGTCTCAGGTGATCTTTCTCTGAAGTAATTGGAGGGCTGAAATGTAGATTTAATCACTAGTGTGTGTCTTCATACATGTTAACTTGTAAACAAAATACAGAGGGCATGGGGTTAAGAGATGTACCAATGCATCAATTTTTAGTAGAGAAAATAGGGACATGAAGTTGCTGACATCTTGCAGGATTCAGAAGATGTCAAAATAAGATCAGAAGGGACAAGATGATAAACCAATGCACTGATAGTATGCATGTTGTACATACTGAAATGTAAGGTTTAAGAGGGCATGTGTATTGCAGGCTCCGAAACCCTGACGTTGGGAAGCAGTAATTGGGGCCATCATCAGAGGTAGTCATTAACCTGTGCGCTGTTTTCAGGCTATGTTCATCTTTGAATCAGGAGTGCAGTGAGTGCACTTCCTGTGCCGAGAGCAGATGTACAGAGCTCTGGCCTCCTGCGTTTCCTCAGAGGCTCCCCCTTTCAGCACTGCTGTGTGGTAATGATCTAGTTCCAGTAAATATTACAATAAGTTTCATAAACTGATTGTGGCCCACAGTGTGCAATAGGTAGGTAAGAGAAAACCCCGGTGTGCTCTAGAACTCATGCAGTGGTAGAGATTAAAATCAGAGGCCTGCAAAACCAGGGATTCTCCAGGATACAGTACCTTGGAAACAAAACCCCGTCTTGCTGAAAGTTACGGTTTTTGTGTGTGTGTCTGGAGCTGATGCGGTGGTGCGGTGCATTTGCCCTGCTTGGTGCCTGTGCACCCTGGCTGGGGGCTGCCGTGGTGACTTTGCACGTGGCGGGTGGTGAGGCAGCAGGACTTGCCTCTGAGTGATGCCACTTAAGTGACAAAGCGTTCCAGGGGCTCGCTAAGCTTTGTCAGGCATGCTGCAGCGGTGTGTCAGCGGTGAGCAATTTCTTGTGTGTTAATGGACTTTGCAGTCCTATCTGCTTAGCAAGGAGGGAAGGAGATAATCCTGAGGAGCCGCGTGTTAGTGGAAGTGCGGAAGTACAGATGGCAGCAGCTCACGTGCTTCACCCTGCTTCAGCAGGGGGCTGCAGGTGGGAGCACAGGCCTGCTTTGTGACTCCATGGGTTGTTTCAGTGTGGATGGCTATCCTCAGCTCTCTCTGGTAAAACCTACTGACAGGAGCCGGGGGCAGGCTGAGGTGTGCGGAATCTGTGTGACCTGGTGGAGAGAGTGCTGGTGTGGGGCTGAGGGAGCTCTAGTTCTTCTTGGGACCGTTTCATAAGCCAGCAAGGCCAGGTGGACCAGACATTTTGTGTTTCAGTACCTCTGTTCCCTTTGTGTACAGCACAGTCGCTTTTAGACAGTGCTTTATGGTCTAGCAAAGAAAAATGTTCTTAGATGTTTACACAGTGGAATTAGCCAAGGTGGCATCGTATATCAGCAATGAATTTTCAAGGCAACTTCAAGTGCATAAACTCAACTTTTACTTAGATCCAAATTTGAAGAAAAGCAACATGTGTCTGAAGTGCTTTACAGAAGGGCAGGGCCAGAGAGCGCTCTGTTGTCCCTATGATGTCCCTCTTGGTGCAATGGTGTAGCTTCAGTGCATGTGGTGAAGAGTTACTCTTCAGCCAGTGTTGAGACTGCCCTACAGACTGTGGAGGAGATTTGGGGTTTCGTACCTTTGCCAGAGATCACTGTTGATTATGAAGTCATGAGCAGTTTTGGTAAAAGTTCTATGCATGTAGGGGCTTACAACACTGCATGTCCTTTGAATTCCTCACTCGACAGTGATTTATACAGGGAATTTATATGTAACATCGTCATTATAACAGAAGTCCCTTTTGAGGCTTGAGTCAAACTCCTACAGCAAATGCTTTCCTTTTTGTAAACAAGCCCTCACCAAACCCTTAGGAGATTAATTAACATGTTTCCTTGACTAAAGGCTTAATTTGCCCTATGGTTCCGTGTAATTTGAGGCCCTGAAAAATAGGGGGTGCAAGGTTAAGTTTACACGCCAATTTACTTTCCCCATCCTTCAGTGGTGTCCCAGTGTGGCACAACAGGCGCTCACCCAGGCTGTAGTTAGCCTGGCAGTGGAGTGGGCAGAACAGCTTCTTGTCAGCCAGAGGAACTGGTCTTGCTTTCTCCTTCAAACTGTGCCTCTGCTCCTGTCTCTCACCTCACCCCACCTGTCCGCTGCCTCTGGACAGATATTGGATAATGCAATGCACATATTACACCCTCTGTAAACATATTTAAGTAAGCAGCTCAGCAGAGTGCTGTGGGGTTCTTCATTTGTTTTCTGCTGGAGCAGTTTCTGCTCTTCGAGTGAGGTTTGATGACTTTGAGGAAGGATGCAGTGAATTCCAGAACCTGTGCAAAGGGACAGTGAGAGGAGGAGAGAGAAGGAAGATGGAAGGAGTGAGCAGGATGTCTCTTGTCCCCTCTCCTAGACATGTCTTCTCTGTTTTCCCTGTGCTGGCTCTGATGCTTATTCCACCTTCTTGAGAGCTGATTCAACCTGTCGGTCCAGAGAAGAACTAACAGCAAGAACCAAATGAGATGAGTACCAGTGCCTGCCTAAGGGAAAGAGCAGGCTGAGAACGTGACATGGGAGGATGACACAGAGTGGGGACAGCCCTTCAGTAAGTTGCTAGGTTCACTCTGCTGCCCCGTGACTGCAGGCATGGAGTGGTGGTAGCTGTGTTGTAATGTGAAGTGGAAGCTGAAACAGGAAGTTATTTATATCCTTCCCAACCTGCAGCACCAAGCCCGAGCCACCAGGCTGTTCCATGCTTGCTGTAATTTGTAAACTGTGTCCCACCATGTGAAACCCCATTACTCTTGGGCAAAGAAACCTACAATGTTTTGTTTTACTGATCTCTCATAAATCCGCTTTGTTGTGTTTCTCTTCCTCATTGATGATTTCATGGCAAGAAACTCCTGTTGCATTTCTCCAAAGTCACTTTTGATGTGGGTCTTTTTGTGTCTCCCAGAACACTCCTCTGAATCTTTTGTATTGATTACAAATTCGTGTTGGGATTCAGGAATAGATATCCTTTTATCATCAACACAACTTCACCGTGGTACTCAGGCTAATTTCCCCGTTCTCATAGTACCTTGATAACTGAGTATTTCTGTGGTGGATTTGTCAAACTGAGGCCTGCTATTGTGTGATCTGTGCCTGCTGCAGGTTTTGGAAATATGCTGGGTTGAATACTCTGGTGATGAAAAGTGGATTAATGAGTGAATTGCTGTCCTTGGTTTAGAGATTGCACTGTTTATAAAATAGATGTGGCAAGTGATGGCAAGTGACCTGTGATGTTTTACGTAGGCTTGCAAAGTACAGGTGTGGAGATGGTGGAAGGTGTTTGAGAGAATTGTAGTATTTCCAGCTTCAGAGAGTAGAGGATGAGAATGGAGAAAGCTCTCCTGAATTTATCTAAAGTAAATCATAGGAAACCGTATGAGGGTTTTTTTTTTTACTATGGAGAATTCCGGTGGGACTAGGAATGCCTGTTCCCAATTCTCAGTTACAGTCCAGTGTAACTTTTTGAGTCAAGAAGTCCAGGGGTATTACTGGTGGACAGCACTTCAAAGCCCCTTTGGGTGGCAAGACCTGAAATGGTGCTGTGCCGGCAGCAGCATTGGTGGCATGTGTGAACAGAAGACAGGAGCAGACTGAGCAGAGTTTAGAAAAAACTGTGGTAATGTTCAAAGGGTAAAAAACAACAGCAGACAGTGCTCTGCATGAACGAAATCAAATGAAATCTCGGTGGAGAAGAGTAGACATTGTGAACAGATGTTCAGGCTGAGCTTACGAATCTAATACGCAACTGAATGTGGGATGGAAGATAGTCTATTGTGTGCAGGGAGCTTGGATTTATGGGGGATCTGCCAGGTTCCCCTTTTCTCCTCCTTGTGCTCCCATCTGCAAACTCCTTGAAGGTAGTTATGTAATGACAGCAGTTTCAAACACTTTAGATAAGCTTGAAGTAGACACCAAGCAGAGAGTGACCAAAAAGTGAGACTTGTTCTGATTGTGTGGTTAAACAAGAAATCAGAGAAAAAATAGAGTACAGTCATATACAGAGCAAGAAGTGTATGTAAAATCCTGGTGCTCAAGAACAGCTGTGACATTTTTTTGTCGTGCTGATAAGACAAATGCAGCTGTATATGTTTCCCTTTGTTGTTTTTCTTCGAGGGAAGATATTAAAAAAAAAATATGTAATTTGTTTGGGGTTGTACTGTAAATCTGAGTTGTGCCATGGAAAACAAAGGTTTACTCATACGATGATCAGTCTCCTTGTAACAGTTACTGACTATGATTTAAAAAATGTACACAAGATTAACTCTGAACATGCTTAAAAACCCGAAACAAACCAAAAGCCAAATGATGGCAAAGCTTATAGGCTTAAACTAGTGCAGAGAACTAGGGGTGACCGGAGCAATTGGAGACTGGAGCTACAGTTAGAGAGGTCAGTGAGAGGTCCCTGCAGTAAAACATTTGAAAAAGATTAGATACTGCAGGGGGAGAGATAGCTGAACCTGTCCTGCGTTAAGGGGCTTTTCCTTAATGATCTGTTGGGGGCCTCTCAACTCTCAAGATAACAGGAGAATAAGCCACAATCTGTCCCCTTATCTCTGCATATGCTAAAACTGAAGGGCTTTGGGCTACCAATCATCTAATTAAAACTAATATGCTGATATTTCCTGTGTTTTCTAGTCTTCACTGTTTTCAGAAGAGAGGAAATTCCAGAATTTCAGAAAACTTTTCAATATGACTCACTATTTTTAGCAGACGAAGAGGCTGTCTCCTGGGTGTATGTTGGGGATAGCCCATTAATCATCCCTATATTTTCACTGTCACCAGCATGACTGCAGGCTAATTCAATTTCATGATAATGCCAATGTTGCATTTATATATCTACTTCTAATCTGAGCACTGTCACAAAGGTCAAAATGCCTTCCCAGTTGTCAAAACCACAAACACATGAGTCCAACACTAGTCTTGAACATCTATGTGTACTGAGCTCTTTTATTGTAGCCATCAGGTGGAACTGTTAAGGTGAAACAATTCTCTTGTCCTTGTAAATCTCATGACTTCTGTAGCTGTTATCGCCAAAATAGCTGTGGTAAAATTTTAACCTTAAGGACACAATTTGCTAAAACAGGGCATACCTCTCAGGTTTGAACTTGTATGCTGTTACAGGAAGAAAAATAAAAGAGGCACTTGGATTTTAAAATTTTTTACAAAATTAAGGGGAAATATTGTGGGGAAGGTTTGGCTTTTTTTTTTCTGTCTGCCTAATCTTCAGAATTATATACGTAAGATGATACAGCAAACCAACTTTGAAATACAAAGCTGGGAGAGACTGTTATTTTATTATGGATTTCTGTTTGCTTCTAGCTAAGCAATCAGATTTGGGCATTACATGTTTCAGGGTTTGATTCAAGATCGACTTACTTATCTTGCCTTGAGTCAGTGTGGCTGTTAGTTGGGATGAATTAAATCAGTAATGCACCTGACCTCTGCTTAGAAGTCCCATCCTCACATTTGTCACAAAACCTCTGAATTTACATGGGTTTTGAAGTGTGGTGTTCACTAACCTTGGGGCCTTCAAGTGCAATACAGTGTATTACCTGGAAAGCAACATTTTGCAGATGCAGGGTTATGAAATAAGCAAGAAGAATGTTTTTACTCTGTAATGAAATAGGAATATTGATTCTTTCCTTCATTATATGTTGCTATGGAATTTTTTGCTTCATTTGGAGAAAGGTGATGTGAGTGTGCTATATATTTCCCTGGTAAAAACTAGTTTTGTAGTATATGATCTTTGTTGATAAGAAGTGACTCTTTATTTGGCATGGGATTTGGTGCAAACAGTTATCTGTAGCAATTTAAGAAATTATATCTGCTATTATACGCTATTTTCTTAGGTATTGTTAGATTAATCTCTTGCTTTCTCTCTCAGGTTTCCATTTTGGATGCAAAACGAAGTATGAATATTGGGATATTTCTCAAACAATTCAAAAAGTAAGAAGTCTTTGTAGTTCTCATAAAATACATACATTGTGCTCTGTTCCTTGTGGAGTTTGCAGTTTTATGCAGTTTTCTCAAAAGTAATTTGACGTAATTTCTTTTCTAATATGTTTCATTTTGAATGCATTTATGACTTAGCATCAAACAGAGTTTGCTGATGTTAACCAGCTGAGGTGAGCTTTCAGGTATGGTCAAGGGAAGCCCTTTTACCTCACGTAACAATGCCTGTGAGCTGCCTTTTGCTGGCTTCCTCTCTTTGTAAACAATTAGAAAGGGGCAATGGGAGCAACATTTCCAAGAGTGAGCCCTTCCATTGCTGTCTGTATTCACTGATAACGTTGCCCTTCGGTCAAGGCATCACTGAAGATGGTGTCAGAGCAGTGCTGCTGTGAACACTGATGCATCCACAACCTCTTTATAACTCTGTTGAGTAGCCCAGGCATGGTTATTTCAATCTGTGTAGCTGTTCGCCCTGCAAGTGTTAGAAATATGTGTGCTCAATTGTTTTTTCAAGGTCTGCCGAATCCATCATTGAAGATATTTATCATGGAAGAAGTCAGCCCTATGGTCCTGAACTGCTACATGAATTTCTTAAATTATTACCAGAAGCAGAGGAGGTAAATAATGGTTTTATGTGGAACTTATTTTTTGTAGAGTTCTGCTGACTGGGATTCCAACCAGAAGCTCTGTAAAAGAGGAATCTCAATGCCTTCCTGAGGCTAGGGAACAGGGAAGCACTGAGTGCAAATGTTTAATCTTCGTGTGACTTGTGGTATTGAGGTCACACTGTAGTCATTCCCTTCACATCAAGTAATTTCACCTGCTTTTAAGGAGTTGATAAGACATTTTTTGTTTATATGATGTTCCTTTTGTCCCACAAACAGCAAGACCTGGAGCATTCCTTTGTGCAGATAACTGCTCTAGGGAGGTTAGAAAATTCAGAATTTAAGTGTATTCTAAGCAAACAAATTTCACTTCTTTGGCACCTGCCTCATGCCTTCCCATTGCAGTGCCTGTGAGTGGAATATTGGTTGAATATTGGTAGCCCTGTGCTACTGCCTTTTTGCCTTCTGGTTCACTGCCTGCTTGGTTCATCTGGGTCTGTTCCTGGGCCTGATCACTGGGTTTCAATAGGGCAGAAAGGCAGCTCCAATGGAAAGTTCAGCACCCATGGAATTTGCTAACATGGCTTAGTGCTCAAAGGAGATGTGTTAGAAGGCACAGAATTGCCAGCAGTGCCTCCTCAGTGTTCCTGTGATCACCATATGACCAACATCCAAGCGCAGCCTTCTCCCCTCCTAGTCCCAAGCTTCAGGTCTATTCACATGATTAAAGAGGTGAAGCTTCATCGACTGACCTGGGAGCCCTGCTTAATGATGTACAGTTCCTTGCCTGCTCACTGTTGGCACTGACCCATTTGTATGTACTTGAGAGAAATGTAAACCACAAACCTGACAAAATTAGCATTAGAATTGCTTGGGTGCTTCACATCAAAGTGAGTGGCTGAAACTTGGGAAATTGCTAAGTTAAGGTCCACGTAGAGATCAGCCTCAGCTCACATGCTTTACCACTTCAAGGTCATACTGTCAAAGCACTTTGTTTCCTCTGTGCAGCAGCAAATCTCCGATCCAGTCATCAGTAGAACATGCTACAAGTCTTTTGCTATCAATTTTATGACCCTACATTGAGCTGCCTTTGCAGAGAATCTTGTAAAAATTGTGTTATGTTAGTACACTTGATTAATATATCTCTTAGAGTTGGGAGGGTATAACAAGCTGAAATGTAGTCAATCAAAAAAAATAGTAACAGTAGTTCTGGGACCTCAAAACCATTCCCTCTTCCCTCTTTGTTTGCATTTTAGTACATATTCCATTATATAAACAGAATTTATCTCCTTCCTCTGAAAGTCAGACTGAGGAGAACAGTGGAGTACTAACTTGAGAGTGACTCCCAGTTAACTTTATAGTCAGAAAATTAGACTGAAAGAAAAGTACTTTTTCTTCTTTTCCTCTGTCTGGCTTAGATCTTGGTTGTTATTTTATGACAAGTAGAAAATCTTTCAGCTAGTGTAGTCTATGTGATAAAAATGTTGTCATTCAGCTAGATTTGTAATGTAAGTTGTTGAATTTATCATTTTTGTCTGCAATGCTCAACTAGATGCATTAGCTATCCAATAGGTACTGCTAAGAGTGAAAAAATGTTTATTTATTTGACAACAGATTTGACAGCAGGCCTGTCACTCAAGATAGTGGGGCCAGAGGATTTAAGAAGTGCTTTTAAGGAGTCACTTGAGAAATTAATAGAAGATATTCTATGATACAGGAGGGCATTAGAAATAAAGGGGCATTAGACATGAGATTTGTTGCTATTCCCAAGAGAAGGCTGGAAAGAGGCTGCTTTCCAGTGTGCAGGTGTTTGTATGTATTTAATTAATTGCATGCATCAGAAATGGGAAAGACCTCTTTGTTACTCTTCTCATAATTGTTGAACTTCTTTGGATTTTTCCCCTTGAGAGCTGGATGGCAGGCAAGACAGGGAGAAAATCCTGAGTGTAAGGGCCTGATGTTTCTGCTGGTATGGAAAAATGCTTCCATGTTTTCATATCATCATGCTTGGTGTGGTCTAAGAATAAATGGGTCCAGTAACTCCTTTACTACAGTGGCTTCTAAAATTTTAGTGTAGGCGATTAAAAAATTTGGTTTTCTTAGGAGCCTCTGAGCTTTTTTTTTTTCTTTTTCACCATTTTTTCTGCTATATCCCCTTACTTTTTAGTTTATTGTCTGCCTCCTAGACTGAATACCTGTCTCCTAGAATAGTGATTCACCATTTGCTAAGGGAAAGGCATCAGAAGCTTACAGTCCCACATACAAATAATCCAAGAGCCACTAGAGATACCGGGTGAAGTGGTGTTAGTTGTTCTGCTGTTCCCTCTTCTGTTTAATACTCCCTAATTTCTTTTTTGTCATATCACATGAGATAGCTTTAGCAAGTTGTCATCACATTGGCCTGTCCCTGCACAATGTTTCACCCATCCTCAGCAAGGATTCCCTGGCATTGCCCTTTCCATGCTTCCTGTTCTCCTAAGGACCTGCTTTGTTGTTGTAAGAGTTGGCAATTGCTCTGAGCAGAGACCTGAGCACTCAGGTGCTGAAAGGTTGGCAGCTGTTCAGGGCAGTCTGTCTTGCTGCAGCCATGGGTGGGCTTCTGCAGTTCCTCTGTGTGTGCTCTTCCAGCAGCTCAGGTACTTCCAGACACATTTGCCTGTATGCATGCACAGGTTTCTTGCAAGCTGCAGTGAGGGCCAAGTGCCTTCTGTAGGCTCTTCACCAGTAACTGTGCTTTGAGATGTCTTCTGCTTTTTCTTTTTTATTTTAATTCCTTAGTCTGTAGCAGTGAAAGGAGGGAGGGGAGTGCCATTCCTGCTCATGGCTGTAGAAAGGGCAACTCTGGACTATTTTGTGTCTTTTTTTAACCAAGAAGTTTAAGTTTACAGTTTACCTGGTGTGAATAAGCCCCAGCTTTGTACTCCAATTGTATCTTATCTACAAGTGTTGTGATATCCAGTCACATTACCTGAATGTGCTCCATGTCTCTTGTTTGACTTTTCTGACATATTTCAGATCATTTCAGTTCATTGTATCTCAAGCACCTGGTGGTATTCCAGATTTATGACAATGGAGGCTAGGTCCTTGGACTAACAAATATATTTAACATCAGTTGTCTTTAAAATTATTCTATTTTCACTGTTGCAATGTGGCAACTCTATTTGCATGCAAAAATAGGTGTCAGTACTACTGATCTTCTAGCTGTTTACTATGAAAAATCCCAACTGCTATCAGAGTTGTGGAGATTTTTGCATGTAAATGGCAAATACAGGCTCCTTACTGAATGTTTTTCTCAAACTATTAAGACTATTAACTAATAAGACTATTATTGAAATATTGGCACTGCTGTGAAGTCTTTCCTAAAACTTAAAATGTTTGGGTATTTTCAAATGTTTAATTTTAAAAACTTGACAAATACTTGAAGCTGGCCGTGATGGAGCTTGCTGCAGGGCTCTGCTCAATGTTTTGTCCAGGGCTGTCTGTGGGTGTGTGGCCTGGCCACTACACAGTGGTTAGGAAAAAGGCCAAAAGCAAATTTATAACAATTCTCAATACATTACCAACTAGCATAAGATCTAAGATTTGTTTAAGTCTTCTTAGAAGTCCTGCTGTTTGTACCATACTGTGCTTAGCAGTTTTGTAAGGAGAAAGAAACACCTATTTGGAATCTCCTCTGCTTGATCTCTTTTTTCAGTTTGTTTTTTTTCCAGGGAGCCTTGATTGAAGCAGTTGTCTTCTCTGCTATATCTCTTCTGAAAAGACTCCTAGTTGTTTCTGAATGATACCCTATTGAAATGGCTGACAGCTTTTATTTACTGGCATCCTGACTAGAGCAGAGAAGAAGCTTTTAGCTGCTTTTATGTGCATATTATTACACTCTTCAACAGGCCCAGACTGGCAAAAGTTGAGAGAGTCCAGTGTTTAACGAGCTAGAATAGCCAGAATCTGTACTTTAAATACGTACAGAAGAGAGCATATCACACTGGTAATCAGCTCACCCACACACATGCACTCCCAGGTTATCAACACAGTGTCTTAGCTTCCTTTATAGTGTCTCAAGCCTGTCCTTTGCTCGTGTGCTCTGATTTCAAACCCTGGTCGTCCGTCACCTGCTTTATTGGAACTGTTTCTGTCAGCCCTACCCTTTTCAAACCATGTCTGTAGTTAAATGCCCTCTCCTTTCCTCAGCCAGTGCTTTATAGGGTTGATCATCCTTTAGAGCTTTCATCTCCTTTTCCTTTTTTGCCCTTTATGATTACCTGCAGGTTTTTCTCCCTTTCTTTTTGTCATTTGCTGGTAGTGGTTTGCCACTGCCCTGGCTTGTGCCCCATCGTGTTTCACTGCCTCACACATCTGCTGCTTTCCCACATGCCCTTGTGGCTGGATTCCACTGTGATGCCTTTTGGGGCATTGATATTTTTTAACTTTCTTTTTTGTTAGTGCCCTGAATATTTGCAGTGGTATGGAGATATTAAATAATAAAAACTAACCCACAGAGAAAATATTTATTCCTCTTCTTCAAAGATCCTGCATAGCTACAAGATCCTACAAGATACCTGTTTTATGCCATAAAATAAAATCCCACTAGAAGTGCTGCTGGTAGCTTAAAAATTACCAAGAACTTGAATACAGTAGCTTTTGTGTCTGCCAGGTATAATGGCATACTTGAAATGGGCATCTCTACTGCAATTGTTCACAAAGCAAATCAAAGATCAGGCTTTCTATGTTTCATAACTGTTCTTAAAATTAAGCAAATTATATACGTGAGAACCTTGTGTATCTAAAATCAGATTGAGTGTGCATGGGCATGCATGGGCAGTGCAAATGCATATTCCATATACAAATATAATGAAAAATTAAATTAGTAGCTCGGCACCCAATTTGAGTAATACAGAACTGAGCATGCAATGTAATTATGCTCTCCTGCATGTACACATTACACTGCCATATCTCCAAGAGTAGGTACATGGCTGCCTGCTCTTGTGGAAAAGTTTTGTTGTTCTACAAGAGAGGAGGTCAAGGCCAGAACTGATAGGATTATTCATAACATTTTTATAATAAGCTACATTTTTAGCTCTCTTTTGTTCTCAACCCATCTACTATATCTGTTAACATGATTAATAGTGAACATTGTTGTCAATCTCCTTGGTTTCTTTGCAGCCCTGGCTGCAGTTGGTATTTGAATTTGACCCCACTTCTGGGAGCCATCAGAGAATCTCAGTTTTCTTCCAGAATACTTAGACGGCGTGGCAGTTGAGAGTAGAGGCAGTCCCATGGGATTTTGAATAGTCTCCTTGGAATGTGTCATGACAGACATCCAAAATGTGTTCCAGTAATTTTTTAGCTTTGGCGTTCAGAAGTTGGGGTTTTTTTTTAGTTTATTGGTAGTGTTGATAAAGTCAAATAACTTTTTTTCCCCCTTCATGGCACAAATTATTTTTGAAATATGAAATTTTTAATAAAAAAGGGAACACACAATAATTGCTGTCCTATCTTTACCTTAGCTATTTCCCAGACTATTTACAATTTTAAGGCCAAGTTAACAGATGATTTAGTCTTCTGCGTGAAAAACTTCAGACATGTATGGAGAACCAGGCTGTGTTTGCTGAATTCCAGGGTGAAAAGGACCTTATAACTCCTTTGTGTTCCTGTTTTGTCTGCTTGTGGAATGGGTCACTGTCCTCCACCATCCTTGGGGTTTGGGCTTCTTGGGTGAGCTGCCTTGATGCTTCGTCCAAAGGCAGTTTGGGATAGAAGACAGTGGGGGTTTAGGTGGTTGATGTAGGCTGGGAAAAGTGGGGTGATGAGCACATCTTTGTTTCAAGTCTGGTTACACAGACTTTCTTCTGGGCTGACTATTGCCCAGAGCTTTTTGCATGATGACATTCACACCCCATCCTACCCATCAGAAGGCAGCCTTGTCAATGTCTTCTGTTGTGCATGTTTAGGAATGTTCCTCCTCTGAGTTAATTCTGGGATTTAGTACTCATGTGACTCCAGGCGTTTTTCCTAGTAGGATAGAAGAAAGAGGATTTCATCCAGTGCATGTAAAACTAAAATTGCACATAGAACACATTGATTTTTACTTACTGTTGAAAGTATATTTAAATATAGTGCTGGTAGCATGAATAAGTTAATATTTCTGTCTCAGGATCTCTTATTGTTCACTTTTTGTGCATTTAAGTCTTCAAATTCCATCTTCCTATAATTAACCTGTGGCTTATATGGTCTGATTTTGGTGAGGTGGCGTGGGTTTTTTTGGCGGGCTGTTTTTCTGTCTTTCCTCCCTCTCTGCCATATCTGAATGCCTGTATCCTTTTCAGGCAAACACTGGTATTTGCAAGACAGTAAAATGAGGTTGGAGAATTTGCAGATTTTTTTTTAGGTTGCAGTCATCTAGTTTTGGGAAGCTAGGTTAAAGAACCTTTAAAGACTGAGGCAGTATACTATCTCTCACTCCCCACCTAATGAGGTAGAAAAAGTGTTTATTTTGGGTTTGTTTCTTGCTCATTTAACACCTTAGAATTATCAGGAATGTCAAGTCTGGTCTTTCCTGTTTTTTTGTTGGCAGACTTCTTGAATTACTCAGTAAATTAGGAGTTTTCTCAGGCCTAAAAAAAATGGTTATGCTGTTTATCTTTAGAAGGGGAGCTGTTGTCTGAGTGTCTTGAGTTAAATGGGAGGGGGTGGCAGTGTTAGGAAATGAAGCTAGATAGCCTGAATAAAAATTGCTCTCTTATTGGAGGTCTTTTTCTTGGTTATAAGTTTTTGTTAGTCTTTTTTCCTGTTCATTTGTTTGTTGATGTGGTTTTTAATTTGAAAAGGAATTCTTTTTCATTCTGTGATTAACTTGTCTTTTTCTCTTTCTTCATGTGTTCTCAACATTTCTATTTTTTGTGGTGTGGAAAGAAATAGGAATAAAGCTGTTAAGAGAATCCTTTTCTTCTGTTAGTTCATAGTCCTGATTTAGCATAGCATATTTTTCTTCCACTACAAATCAGCTACTTTTTACTGTCAAAGCAGAAAAGTAACTGAAGTGATTAATTTGTAGGCTGATTCTTTAACAAAACCTGTGGATATCTTGCTAAATCATGGTGTTGGGGGGGGTAACTGTTGAGGCCTTGATGTAGTGTCCTTCTCTCCAATAGCTTAATATGCTTTCTAAAACTAAAAACCATCTGTGTGAATGTGGTTGTGCATGGGCTTTAAGTGTGATGTTACACAAAGGAAGGACGATGGGCTGGTGTGTAAATCAGTGGACACATGCAGCTGCTGTGAGAACTTATTGGTTGAATGAAGCAATAGTGCAGCTGAGAGTGAGCTCTGCTTTTGGACACAGTTGCTGTGTTGGAAGATGTGGAAGAAATTCCAGTTACACTTAAACATATGTGCATGTATTTTTCAGTTCTTCTATATAAACAAATAGTGAGTATGTGGGTGGATCAGTGGCTTCCAGATCATGCAAATATATGGATTTTGGTGGAGCTGGGAAGGAAGATCGACAGAATTAATGCAGTGGTATTTCCTTTGCATGTAAATGGTGTCCTCAGAGTACTGAGAGTACTGACAAAAAAAAATACTTAAAATGGAAGATTGCATTTATCTTTAAAATATTTCATATTAATGAAAATAATACAAACTCAAGATCATGAAGTTTACCCCTTAAGAGCATTTTAGGGGAAATGGTTGAAGCAAATATCTTGAAAAAAACCAGTAACTTAAAGTTTAGTTGTATTGTGCCAATAAGATCTAGGCAGTCCAATGCTGGATATTCTGAACACAGTTATGCTATGCCCGAGTGTGCATCACTGTTGTTCAAGAATTGAGGGTCATTTTTCAGATCATCATCAGTATCCTAAACATAGTGATGAAAGTAATCATTGATCAGAAATCAAAATCAGCAATCAGAATGGTGGCATCATGGTTTCTGCTGCTGGACTGTGTAGCTAGTTTTTTAGGAGAAGAGTGGCTCTATATTTTAAATTTTTTTTTGTGCTTGGGGCGTGTGCAAATTACAGGATCTTGGGACAGTGAAGCCATTCACTGGGTGGACTTTCCAATGCCTTCATTTAAACTTACTGCTTTTCAAGGTGTTGCCTTCCAAAGTCAGGTTAATCTCGATCTTTCATGAAATTCTTTGCTAGTGTTTTTTTTTCTATTTTCTAGGTAAAGAAATTAAAAGCCTTTGATGGAGATGTATCAAAACTGTCTCAAGCTGATTCCTTCATGTACTTACTAATCCAGGTGCCAAAGTAAGGAGATAGTTGGTTTGTTCTGTTTATGATAAGTGTTCTTTTTCGGCTGTCAGTTCTAAACCTGTTTGTGTACTCCAGCTATGCTCTTAGGATTGAAGCCATGGTGTTGGAGAGGGAGTTCTCACCCTCCTGTGCTTCTCTACAAGATGACATGAAAATTATAAGACGGGCAACAAAAGGTAATTAAATATGTTGGGACATGCCTAATACTCTTGTTTTTGTTAGCATGTTAATTAGTCTGCATTACGAAGACCAGAGCTTGAATTTCAGGTACCTTGGCTATTAAAAGGAGGCTAACTCCCCTCTGACAAATGCCATCAGGGTGTGCCTGGTGGATCTTTGCTTCCAAAATCAAAAATCTTGGAGACTTTGGGTACACTAGCAACAAATTCATGTTCAAAGCCTAAAAGGAATATGCCCTAAACTGACAGAAGCAAAAGTGTCTGTGACCAAATTAGGATGTCATCTTTTGAGTACAGTTTGCTCATTCCTGCACTGCTCTCCCTCTGATGGAATGTGGTTGTTACACCTCTCTTCTTATTCTTTCACAGATCCATAGAAAAAAATGACTATTTTCTCAATTTCTCTATAGGCCACTACCTTTTGAGGTGGCAGTATTGATTGGATAAAATCTTTATTTTAAAGAATACCTTTGCTATTCCTTGGTTTTCTGTTTTTGTTTTCTGTTTCTCTACATACCTGTTCTGCTCTTTACATTTCTCAAGTTTTGAACTGCTGCAGATGGCTGTTTGTTGGATACTGTAGTGTCTTCTACTCTGCAGGAAAATAGTTGATTTCCTGGTTCCAGTTAAACATTAATGCTGACCCTTTACAGTATCTTGAGTGCCACTTTGTCCTGTTCCTCAATATGAAATTCGTATTTCACGTTGGAAATTTTTTGACTGGCTACTAGATCACTGCTTAGGCTGCTTGTAGTGCTATAAAATGGTGCACTAATTAAAATATTTTATTATGAGCACTGGTGATTAGAATAGTCCTTTCAAGTGAAAGCAAAGGGCAAAAAAAGAATTTTCCCACCAGTGGGGACTGAACTTCTCATCGACTCTGGAAAGTGTTCTGTACTTAGGATTAGGTCTGAGTTTGGCCTTTTATTAGGATCTCTTTCAAATCATTGTTCTTTGTGTTTTGAGCAACAGACATATGTGAGGGAATATGTTATGTATAAAAGTAGCCACACCTTAATGTCCTTGGTGTCCTTCACCCAAGACATATGTAAACTGGTGCATTAATTCCCTCCAGAGAGGAGACACTTTGGTCTCCAGCTCCTGCAGCAGGCCAGTCACGCAAATCACTGACTGGGCCTTCCCTGTGTTCAGTCCACTTTGTCATGTGCTCTTCTCCTTTTGGTCTTTTCACTTCAGGGTTTGTTGATAGCCTGAAGTTGTTCAGGAATTATGTCTCCTTTCCTATTGCTGTCTCCTGGGTTTCTTTCCTGTAATTAAACGGAGAGAATATTTACTTCAACTTTAATGCTGATAATCACTAAGGGTTAGGATGGTCTAAACAGCCTGGTGGATTCTCATCTAGCCTGCAGATGGATGGATGTCACAGTGACATGGAGCAGGCTCTTGCTATGTGAAGTCTTTAGAAGTTGCCCTCTCCTCTTGGCCTTGTGAAATTTGCTATGCTCATATTTATCCTCTCCTCTCTCTTCCTCCTTGTGTCCTCACCTTGGATCTATCTTGTTAAATCAAAGGTTATTTAACTATTTCTGTGTTTGCAGATTGCCAGTATTGAAATACAAATGTTTAAGGGCTATGGGCTTCCAAAATGATTCATTACTGTATTGTGTGGATCAGCTGAATGCAGGATAAATTAAAGAATGTGGACTTGGGACCAAAATAGTTTTTAAAAGTATTTAGACTACAATCAAAAGTATTCCACCTTTTATTTCCTTCATTAGTATAACATTTAGTACCTTACATTACAATCAGCTCATAGTGATTTTCTTGCCATATGGGTAATTGCAAATTTGGAGTTGCTTGGTTTGCAGTGCCACATTTATTAACTCTTTACAGTTTTGAATTTCCACATCTTATTTCTAAGGCAATCCCTCTGGTGCACATACATTGTTTTTTGCACATATGTTGTTTTTTGCTCATATATGGCTGGGTGAAAAGGTGCATGAATTCAGATAGATCAGTACTGTGCATTTTGCAAAGAAATGAAGATACATACAAACCAGGCTTGTGTGATGGGAAAACTTTAAAAGGCTATTTTATTCCATGTGACTCTTTGTCACACTGAATATAACTTTGTGCTAAATCATCTTTGATATGACAAGTAAAACAAATACTGCTCTGAGTTGGTGATCATACAGAAATAAAATGATGATTCATAGTGGGAGTGGGATAAGCAAGGAAAATTTAAACATTGCCTGTTATCTTTTCAGGCCTTATGGCCAAGTCTCCTAAAAAAAGAGTAGTTGTTCAAAAGCCCTATCCTGGCAGATGGCAAATGGATCCTGCAGGGTGCAGAACACTTGCCTCACACTGGAATAATTAGTAGGTAGTGAGGATACTTAACCACTTGCATGAGGCACTTTGCACATTCAGGATTAAGCCCCAAATGTTTCCTTAGCTGGTGGAGGTTGCCTTGGAAATACTACACTTGCTAACTTAAAGTCTTGAGGTTTGTCAGTTGTGCTTGTGAATTGGAATTATATAGTACCATTATCTTTCCCATGACCTCTTCAATTTATTGGTGTTTCTTGTCAAATTAAAAAAAAAAAAAAAGCTCAAGATGAAAAGGAGCTTGGTAACTGACTATATTTCTAAGCAAACAATTGTTAAACAGCAATTTTCTTGCTCCTTACAGAGTTAATGACTTGTGAGGAGCTGCATTCCATATTGCACCTGGTCCTTCAGGCTGGGAATATTATGAATGCGGTAAGTGACATCCCAAAGGGAGATGGCTGCTGGACCATACTTCCTTGTTAGTGCTGCAGTGCTCTGATGTCATGCCTCAGCTTCTCATTTGCTTTTCTGCAAATTGTTTCTTTTTAGGGAGGTTATGCTGGCAATGCTGTTGGATTTAAACTGTCGTCACTGCTGAAGCTGGCAGACACAAAAGCAAACAAACCTGGGATGAGTCTGCTGCATTTTGTTGCTCTGGTATAGAAAAGCTATTTTGCTGGTATAAACAACCTCTACAAATATAGGTCCAGTAATTGATACACAATATAAGGGGCCATGTGCCTCCAAAAAAAGCAACTGCGTCACAGCTTTGATCTAATCTTCACCTTTCTTCTCCTGCCACAAAATACACCAAAAATTACCTCTACCTGGTTATCCTATTGGGAAACCCATGGAAAGCTTAAGTTTTAATATCATGTAGAAAGAAATCATATATCATACTTCTTCATTGTAGATTTTCTCTTATTATCCCAAATTCTTACACGGTGGAAGTGGCTTATTTTGATAAAAATTCTCTCCATCTTCCCATTGAATCTTTTGTGCAGCCTTCTTGATAGCTTTTTCTTCCTCCTTCAGTGACTGATGTGTGTGTTTTTAAAGCTGCTGCACACATTTTCAAGCTATTTTCCTTCCTTTCAAACTTTTTGATTTTAAAAGGGAGAGAGTTTAAATGCATCTATTTGACTTCGGTTATCTGTGTACAAACTGGCTTAAGAGATTTAATAGGGTATAAATTGATGTTTGTGCAGGAAGCATTGTATCTGCTTCAACAATGGCATCAGTAAATTGTTATTTCCCTGACATTCCTTATTAATACATCTGGCTTATGTTCACTGGCAGAAGCAGCTATTATTTTACAGTGCAGAATGGAAGCTGTTGTTTAACATCTCCAGTTCTGATCCCTGCTTTTCTTTAAGGGATGTCCTCCACTCAGTTGTGTTAGGATTGAATGGGAAGAAAAACAGTGCAAGAGAGAAACCTTTAAGTGCCCTCCCAGAAGCTTTAGAACTGCCAGACTGAGGGATTTTGGCGTGGTGGTGGAATGTTAATGGATTGTGTGTTTTGGTTTTGTTCTGTTTGTTTCAGGAAGCCCAAAAGAAAGATGCTGCTCTTCTCAACTTTTCAGAAAAAATTAGGAGTGTTCATGATGCCGCCAGGTGAGTTAAAAGAAAACTGAAAACTTATGGTTTGAGTGAAATTGGAATTTTCTCATTTGTGAAGCAATGAGGCTTATTTAGGAAAGTCTTGGCACAAAGCCAGGTCTTAGCAAATGTTTACTGTAGCTTTGAGGTCTTCATTTCCATTTACTAGCAGAAGTATGCCTGCAATGTGCCTTCAGGTATGAGGTTTTTGTATTACATGATCTCCACAGGTTTTTGGTGATTCTGTCAAATGCATGTGCCTGTTCATTACTTTCAATTGATTGAACTAAAATCATGATATTCTTTTTCCTTAAACTAATTTCCATCAGTTTCTGAGCAGGCTACAATACTTTTCCAAATCTGGTACCAGGGGCAGGTGCTGGCCCTGGCTTCACTTAGGTGCTTTTTGAGGTTTCATTTGCTGTCTTGGTTGGAAAATCTGAAGGGTTTGTGGCTCTGTATTTTTTCAGCTTAAAGTCTGAAGCTGCATAATTTTAAACTGAAGCTGATTCCTACCTCAGTAACTGTGCTTACTTTTGTGAGACAGTATGATCTAAATCTGAAACCTGGAAGCCAGCAATGCTGAAGTTCTGTTCCCAGTTTTGCTGCTTCCTTACTCTTGAGCTTACGGCAATCTATTTACATTCTTTTCCCAGCTGCAAAATGGATCCATTTTCTTAGATCTGATGGAAGGTTAAGTAATGTCTACAAAAGACTGAAATCTTCTGAGGAAAGGAGTGGCCATGGAGTTAATCAGAAAATTTTTGAGGGACCACCTGTGTGGCTCTCTGCCATCCAACCCACACACCTTTCTGGCAGTTTGCCATGTGGCCTGCTAGGGAATGTAGCTTTCCCCAGCATCCAAGCCCCCTGGCAAACAGGAGAGAAACAGGCAGAGTCCTAAATTTGGTGATATTTATTTTCTAACCACTTTGTTCTTTGATCACATTTGTTAACGTTGAAAATCTTCTGTTGTAACTCATGCCGAAGTCTATTCAAGGAGTGCACTTTGTACATGAAAATGAAACAAAATTAAATATGTACCTCACCACTGGGCATGAGGAAGGTCTTTAGAGAGGATTGTCATGTACAAGTTACTCATAAATCCACCCAGTTAGAGCGTGTTAAAACAACTACCATTACGTTCTTTACTTTTTGTTGTCTTTCCTTCTTTACTTGTAGGGCATCCTCTTCCTCCTTCACAAGCAGAAAAATGTAGCCTGTGTTTTCTACTGCTTTTCTTACTTGCAAAACCACCATGTTTTCCCAAAACAGGGAACTAAGCCTTGCAGATGAAGTACACAGAGAAAAGTCAGCACACATGATACAAATTTGTGTGTACTGACAAACTTACAGGTGCATCACCATCTGCTGCCATGTGCGTTTCAGTCACGCTGCCACAAGTTCTTCAGCTTTAGCGTTTGAAAGTCGTGCTGCTGGTGAGACAGCCTTAGGAGGAGCATGTGTACAGTTGTTAGTTCTTATCACTTGGCTAACTGCTTCAATTCCTAGGCAAAGTTTAGTTCTCTTGTGAAGGAAATGCCATAGGTTTAGAAGCATTTACCCTCGAAGTGACTGGGAGGTTTAGGTGGGAGCTCATGTTGTATGGAATGTGGGTCTCCCAGGACAATGCTTAGTTTACACCAGATCACATTCCTGTGATCTTCAGTTTCTGAGTTCCCTTTTCACAGCAGCAGCTTCACTGCTGGTGTTTAGTAGAAGGATGAAATCTTGTAACTGCGGGGTTAAGACTGTGGGTTGCATTGCTGTGACTGCTTAGAAGAGTGTAATGCGCAATTTCAGGATGCCAGATGGTACTGCCAAAATCAGTAGTCCTGGCTGATGGTCTCTTGTGACCCCCTTTTTGTGGTACCTCCTGCACTCAAACAGTCATGTAGTCAGTTGGACCAAGCAAAGGATCCATCTGGAACAAATAGGCTTTTTCCTTTTCCTAGGTTAATTTTCACTTCATGGAGGTGGCTGGCCATCTCGAAAATGAGCGCTAGGCACCAGGAGAGAAAAGGAACACCTGGGCAGAGGCAGGGCAGCAGTAACCTTTCTAAGGTTAGGTGGGTAGGACTGGCTGGAGTTAATCATGAAACCACACCCCATGGGAATCTTTTCAGGTTGCAAATAAGAAGAAATGTGCTTATCTCTCTCCTAATTTTCAGTGTCTACTCTGGAAATGTTTCCTGAACAGGCAGGTCTTGTTTGATAGCCTGTTTGCACCTCATGTAAAGCATCCACTTTTGCAGTTGTGGCTAACCTGTGGGCCACTCCTTCTCTTTTGATAAATGTTCTCTGTACGTGCTATTTTTAGGTTATCCATTGATAGTGTAGAAGCAGAGCTGCACTCGCTGTCTGTCAAGACAAGATCTGTTAAAGACAGCGTCCGACGAGACCCAAAACTCTTTCACCAGATGGAAAACTTTCTCCAGGTTTGTAGGATATCTGTGTTAATGTGTTCCTGCTGCCTGAATACAGCAGCATTCTTCAGCTGAATGTCATTTGTGTGGACCTGTCAATAAACAGAAGCACTGTTTTAATATGCCTAGCCTGTCAGTTGTACAAAGGTGTTCCAGCCTCACGCTGTTTGTCAAGTAAGATTGTTGGAAGGGCTGTGTTTTTACAGGGAGGGATACTGAGTGTACATTGCCCAAGGCTTGTTAGGCAAACGTGTTTGGTGCGTGCGAAGTTACTGATGAAGATCAGTAGTTAAAATATAAGACAATTTGCAGTGGTCTATGGTTTTGTACTTTGCACCTGCCCAAAATATAATGTCTGCATGTTACATTATTCTGGAGCACATCAGTTTTAGCTGAGGGTGTGCTGAGGGATGAATCTTGTTTGCTGGGTGACTGAAGAGATATTGCTAGAAGCTGGAAGGTTAAGAGACTCTTTTCTCTACTAATTTACCCTTAACACAGAGTATCTTATTCAGAGCCATACCATTATGTCCGTGTGAGTTCTCCTTTTTCTTATTTTATTAAGTACTGCAGTGACTTTACAGGCCTGGATGTATATAGCACTTACCTTGGAAGCAGAGATCTTGGTATTTTCTGAGTATGTGGTGATGCCTTGAGAAATACATATAATACTTCAATTAAATTATTTTTTCTGCCTCACACTACAGGTAATTATTAAAAGTAAGAAGGCAGGTGTTGATCTGGAACTTAACCCGCCCTGATTTTCAACTTGCAAATGTAGTTAATAGTCCCTGTAGTTTTCCAGGAGATGAAAAGCTGATGAAGAAAGGGGCAGGTTAAGATTGAAATACTTGTCCTCATTCACTCTGAATTGTTGGCTTTTATCCATTTCACCCAGACTCTTTAACGTTATGTTTTAACATGTTTGGGATTTTTAAAAATTTAATAGGTGGTTTTATGTAAAACTACAACCTTGTTTAGGCCACATTCCAAAAGAAATGTTGGGGAAAAAATAATTTTACAAATGCATACCTTGCATAAGCACTTCCGGATTTTGTTTCTAAATTACAGGTGATAACCAAGCTGATCTAAAAGTCAGCTTTGATTATTTCACCCTTGTGAATAAATTCCTGAAATATGTGGGAGGAACTATTCTTTTATGTATGCTTTTATCAGTTGTCCAGTTTATCTTCAGATTTTATTGTGGGAATTTTTTCCTTCTCTTTTTTCCTTTTTTTTTTTTTTAAGACTAGCAAATCATATTTGTTCCTAACCTAACCTAGTGGTATAATTTTCCAAGTAATTCCTGAAAGCAGGTTTGGATTAAGTGATCACCAGTGCCTTCAGCTGCATTTTCCCACCCCAGTGCTACATTATGAAAAATATGTAGGTGACTATGAGTTAGAGATTTGTCTGAAAAATTAACTTTTCTTCTCAGGTTACTTTCAGCTACAGGTGGTGTCAGATGGGGGATTGTGCAAGAATAGAAGTGGATTGCTGGTGATGCAGATAGAGGAGACAGGGCACCTGATCAAAGTGTTTTAAGGAGTTCTGCTGCTCAAAGTCTAATCACAGCCTCATTCTCTTCCTCCTGAATCTTCTTCCGCTAAACTATTCCCATCCTGTCTATATTGCTCTACACTTACGATTCAAAGTGCTACTTTAGGGGAATATTTTCTGGATGTGTTAAAATAGATGTAATTTCAGTGGTTCCTTACCTTTCAAGTACAAAAAGCTTTTTTATTGTGGTCTAGGGTCACCTTAGGAAGGAATTGATTTTGTGATGTATATCCATGAATCAGTTCATGTGTGTTTTTGCAAAAGTGGGGAGGAGGAATTAATCCTTCATGCTTAGTTGAGGGTTGCAGGGGAAATGGGAAAATAAGGAATGAGGAGCTTTTAAGGAGCTCCCAGGAGGTCTGTCAGTGTTCTAGTACAGTCTTTGATTTTACTAATCTAAAACTTAAAGCAGTAAGTTTTTTTGTTCAAGGGCTGTTGAGCTTTTTCATGGTTTCCATCCTAGTCACTAGAATGTACATTTTGATTGATCCATTTTTCCTGACCTTTACTCAGTTTGCTGAAATTGCATGTGTCCATTTGTTAGTACGAGATCTCCTTCAAAATTTTAATTTCCTGGGCTCTGTAGCAGCTTCTAGTTGGAACATGATTTTCATAAGTTCCTAATATATACATGACCTGTTGTGACTTTTATTTTTCTGTCTGGTTCATGTGTGTATGCTACAGTTTGCTGTAAGGCATCTAAAGGAGCTTGAACACCAGAAACGAGAACTGCAAAAGGAGGGAAATGCTCTCATTGACTTTTTCTGTGAAGACAAAGAAACTATGAAGTTGGATGAATGTTTCCAGATATTTAGGGACTTCTGCATAAGATTCAACACATCTGTTAAGGTCAGTGTGCTGAATGAGATTCTCACACTTTTGAAATGGATGTTGGCTCACGTGAATTAAGTTGGTTTTTCTGCTTAAGGGGCATTTTGTATTGTGTAGTATTTGATCTATTTGCTCAAATGGCTACAGAAAACTCCACTCCTACAAGCGTTCCTTGCCAGAAGCCAGGTGGTAATGGCCATTGTGAGCAGCCCTGCTGCTCTGCATCTTCTGTTTCAGGCGGTCAAGACCACCGGGATGATACATCAGGGTTCTTCATTTGCCTGCTTATAAGTGGGCCCCTCCCTTCTGTTTTGGTGAGGAGGCTGGTGACTGCTAAGCTGAGCTGTGAGACAGATTGCACAGATTTCCTGACTCTGGGTCGCTGCTCAGGTGTTGGCCTGGTAGTGTTGGATCATTGGAAAGGCCCTGAGGCGTGGCACGCCATTCCTTGGATGTACCTGCCTGAATCGGTACTAGCTCGGGCTCTCCACTGCCTTCCTTTACATGGCTAGAAGCACTAGCCATGTAAAGTAAGGGCAGTGTATTCTACTTTGTCCTTTCAAAGGACTTTTGTGGGTGAAAACTTCTAACAGGCCTATGGCAGCAAGATACCTTATCCCCAGTGTGAGCATTCATTCACTGAGTACCCTAAATTGGTCCTAAATAATTCAGAAAATGTACTAAGATGGAGAAGTAGTATTGGCATTGGTTACAGTTTTGGTGCAGCAAAGTCTGTCTATTGTTACAGATATTTCTTAGGTCTTTATAAATAGCATGAATTAGTTGGATCAGTGCCCTTTTGCAATCTGCATTTGGCAGCACTTTGGATAAAAGCTTTGGTTCAGAAGGAAGAGAACAGTGTCGATTCAGAGCGAGCTGACAGGATGTTCAGCTAATGTGCCTGTTGTACCATTAGTTTACCTAACCCTTACCACCTGAGACAACACGTAGTTACAGGAGGGTGAATGTTGCACAAATGTCTAAAAATAAATTGTGATAGCTGTCGCTGTCAGTTTAGCAAGAGGTGACTTCCATATATGTTCAAATATTGGGGATTGAGGATTTCATTCCTAGTCACATATTACAAGTGGTGGATGGATAGCTATGACTTTTGAGGTCCCCTCTTTGTAGTAAGCAGCTACACTCTAAAAAATGACAAATTAGACTCTTGCTTGCAAATTTTGAGATGATTTGCTTGCTAACTGTGGATTGACCACTGTTCCTACAACATTACCAGAGCAATTTAGAATAAAAATGGCAGTTTTGACAAAAGAATGTGATGTGTAGACAGCACATCCAACAGACTAAAAAGATGGCTGGTACCACCATGGCCATGTGCACATATTTCAAATGCTTAAACATTTTTTGCAATTTTTTGGCATGTCTAACTATGTGCTTAAATTAGGTTTTTCATCTGAGTAAAATCTCCTAAAACATGTTCTGGGTGAGGTTAAAATATTCTTTTTCTAATATGGAATATGGTATTAGTATCTGCAACTATTTTTAACCATTTCTCTTGACAATGGTGTATTTAAAGTTGAGCTTTAGCATTTGGCAAGAATTCATTCTGTAATTCCATACCTGTGAAAGAAAGCTTCCTGCCAAACATTTTTCCTGAAATGCAAGTTTTTTCTTTTTCCTTTCTTAGATGTTCAGGTTTCTTAGGTCTCTAATGCATCCTATCTTTCAGAGCCCAGTGTAGTCTCAAATCCGCTTTAAGAGGTGTAGATTAATCCATTCATCCCAAAGCATTAGGCTTTTGTTTACTGAAAGCTTTCAGGTGACTTTTCCTACTGGTGCAGCTCTTCTGTTGTCACAACAATGGCAAGATCAAACTACACAGAGCTTTAGACAAATAAAGGTGTGATTTTTTTAAACGGCGTGTCATTGATTAGACCAGATTTTACAACGCGCTGGAAAATCATATAATTTTTGAATTCTCTGTCAGGACTAGCCTCTTCCTTCTTTCTTTTGCTACAGCTGTACTGGCTGCAGCAAGCCAAGTTCTTCATTTCAGAAAGTAACCCAGAAAGTTCAACCAAAGGTGCAGTTAGATTAAATCTGAAGCCTAGAGGTAACAGTCAAAATGCTGATAGTCACAGTAAATCACTGCTAATTATTTTAGTAAAAAGATGTTTACTGTGTTGTCTTTCAAATTCAAACTACCTCTTCTATGGCTTCCTGAACCAAAATCCCTCAGTTTAGCTGCCAAAATCTCCATCCTACCTTGGGCAATCTCTGTACTACAGTTGCCAGTTTTTGAAACCGACAGTGATTATGAGATCCAAAATTGAAGCGAGACATTGATTGATGGTCCCTGAGTGGTGTCAGTTGATGTCTAAGTATCGTGAGGCATTGTGTTAACTTTTCTATTTGCCTTCATATGCAATTAAGCAATGCCTTTTTGCAAAATTTTCATTCTGCAATGGTAGAGGAAAGTATCACTGTGCAGAAGTTGGACTTGCTGAGGAACAATTGCAGTTGTAGTGAGGTAGGTTGGAAAAACCATGTTGGCTGTGTGCTGGTCAGACAAGTTTGTCTTAAAATATGGATGTAAAGATTAAATAGAGGTTTACTCACTTGTTAAGACTGCCACTTTTAAACTTGGTGAGGACTTGGTCTCTCCATCTTACATCTGGAATTCTTTGGCTCAACCAAAGTGTGGTTGGGCCCTGGAACAGGATGCCCAGGGAAGAGATCATGGTGCCAAGCCTGACAGAATTGAAGTGTTTGGACAACGCTCTCAGGCACATGGTGTGACTCTTGGGGATGCTCCTGTCCAGGGTCAGGGGTTGAATTCAGTGATTTCTGTGGGTCCCTTCCAACTCAGCATATTCTGTAATTCTAAGATGTGAAATCTGCTTGAGTTTGATGGGTCAATTTGTTGATCTTTGCAAAGTCTGGTGCAATTTTTGCATACGCTGACCAGACGAATGTGTTGTCCCATTAGTTATGTAGGGAGCTGCTCTCCACAGGGTTAGTGGTTGCAGGCTGTGGTTGCCACAGTGATTTCATGCATGTGTATGTATTGGAGGTTGGGAGTGGGTGATAGCAGTAGGAGCTAACTTCGATGGGAAGGAGTAAAGGGAGAGAGGAAGGAGTGTGTCTTGTTCTTATGCATAGGACACTGTCCTCTGAGACATGTATTTGTGATTTTCCTCCTTCAGGAGAATAGGGAACGAGAGATGCAGGAACTTCATAGTCTGCAAAGGCGAAAGGAGCTGGAGGAGAAGCGTCGATCCTGGGCCGCTGGAGAGCTTGGGAGCTTTGGGCGGAGCAGTAGTGAAAATGATGTAGAGATGTTGGCTAAAAATGGACTTGGAGAATTTCTTCCCTTCTTGCAGCAGAGGCCTCAAAGCCCTTTGTACAGAAACACAAATTCCAGACGCTCTCGACTTTCTTTGGGGGTGACTGCAGACAGGGAGTTGCAGAGTTTCCTGGAAATCGCCAAAGATGAGGATCCAAACAAGTTTAACAGCCTTCCCCGTGCAAACACCCGACAAGCAAAACCTAACGTAGCCTGGACGGAATCCAAAGAAACGAGAGATCTCAACTTAAATACCTTGCACTTACACCAACAGTCTGAAATGGAAGTGAAAAGTGGTGGCTCCGTGCAGGTGCCTCCAGATCAGCCCAGTCACCTCAGCAGCTCAGCCAGTCCTGGTGCCCATTACTCACAGAGGAGCACCGACTACAGCTTGCACACTTCCAACGTGTCCTGTGAGGAGTCCACAGATATAAATGCTCTGGCCCTTGCAATTGAGGAGCGTGAACTTGTTAAAGGGTTACGTAAGTTTGATATTCAAGGAGCAAAGCCTGCAGAAGATGCACCTTTAATATATTTAGAGGATGCTGGTGGGACAGACCTGGAGACTCTGGATGATCTAAGCTTCCATTCCCTGAGCACTGCCGATGACGAGCTGCCTCCAGCTTGCAGGACTTCCAGAGAGGTCCGTGACCATCAAGCCAAGGCAGTGGGTTGCAAGACTGAAGCTTTAGAGCCCAGCAGCAGCAGCCCTATGTCTATGGATACAAGTGTTTCAGGAAGTAGGGAAGATGGGCCAGTGTGCTACATGTCAGATACCACGACTGATTGTTCTTTGACGTTGGACTCTGAAGAGGGAAATGATTTTAAATTGGCAGGCAACGAAATAAGAAATGAGGCTGGCAAAGCATGCTCTTCTGGCAGTGATGCTCAACACAAGGCAAGATCATTCTTCTCAAACCTGAATTCCACCTCTGACAAAGACCTGTCTCTTCACACTTCTGCCAATGATAAGGATGATGCTGATAGCAAGCACACCCTTCCTAAAGAAAAATCCATAAAAAATAAAGATCTAGCAGGACCAAAGACAAACTCTCTAAAAGATCGATCTCCAAGCTCCACAAAATCCAGTGGCACTCGCCCTAGCCACACAGGTCCTTCCAGACCTGTCAGAACTTTGAATGCCTCTGAGAATGAAAGTATGAGGAAAGTGGTGCCTATTTCTCGGTCAAACAGGGCACCCAGCAGTGTGAAAAAGCCGGAAGCCAAGCCAGCCCTTCGTGAAGGCAGTACAGTGGAAAGTCGGCTGTCTCATCGCAGCTCTGTCCGAGGCACAACAGACACGCTGCCAAGAAGTCCCTACAGGCACAGCATGTCGGTAGAAGAGCCAAAGTTACGAAGGGGCACTGTCACCTCAAGCAGTGCTCATTTCGAGAGAGATAGAGTCGCTCTCAAGAAGCCAATCTCCAAACCCATTACCAGGAGTAATGTCAAATCAAAGACAGATGAAACAAAGATGTGTCGTTCCAGTGTAAAACCCCAGACCCCTGCAGATGACACCAAGGTTGCCACAGTCAGTATTCCCAAAGCACCACCTGCTGTCCCAAACTTTGCAAGGAATACAGTGGCCTCTTCTTCAAAGCGTGCAAAAGTGGATCTATCCAGCTCATCCAGACCTCCACCCATCACAAGGTCTGTGTCCCAGAGGCTGCCTAAAGTGAAGCCAGCAGCAACCTCTGATGATCCAAATCCAAAGGAGAACAGTGTGAGTACCTTAAAGAGAGCAAGTAGTGCAAGAGTGGTTGGAAGAAGCATCCTGCAGGGAGAAGCTGTCAGCACAAAAGCAGAGCCTGCACCAAAGGAACAGGGAACAGTGGAAAAGGCATCTCTTAAACTGAAGGATGCAAACCGAACCACAATTGGTAAAATCTTGAAGCCGTTATTGAAATAAGGGAGAGGGGTTTTTCAGCCTTGGAATGTGAACACTTGTCCAAGCACTGGATGTCTGTGTAGTGAAATTCCTTAAAACACTAACCTTGCCAATACATGGCATCATGTGCTTATTGAAGTACAGCACACTGTTGGAAAAGGGCAAGTAGCTGTGTTCTGGTCTAAATCCTTCTTTATGAATTTGAATGTATTTAAAGCTACTTTGATGGCAAGTGAGCAGAACAGCAAATCTTTGCATTTTTGATAAAAAAAGTTACCAAAAGCCAAAAAGTTTTAAGAAGTTTTAACTACGAGATGAAACACTTTGTGACAGAAAACATGGATTAAGGCCAGTTTTTTTGTGTACATAAGATTCTTCCTAGGACTCAAGCCTTTGTGCTTGTTGGTTTCTTATTTGATGTCAAAATGAATCTTGTGGAACAGTACTGAAATGAACTTAGGTGATTGTGCTTTCCATTGCTTTCAATTCCTTGGATTTGGGGGCTCTTTTTGCCTGTTGCAAAGTCCATTGCTGGCAATTGGACACACTGGGAACTGCTGGCCAAAAAATTGTAAAACAAGACGTTTGCTGTTTATGGCTGTCTTTAACCTCCCTGAAGAATTTATAGCATGTTTTATGAACGTGTGTGTGTGTCTGGGGAAGGCTTTCTGCTGGGCAGGAGGCTTGTTCTCCAAGAATGTGGCTGCATTGTCTTGCATGCACAAGTGGATATGGCTGGTGCTGCATTGGGTAGCACAGCTGGAGGCTGTGCCTGTTGGAAGGGCCATTGGCATGATGACTACTCCTGACTTGTTTTGATCACAAGCAAACTTGCCAGCTTTTGGTCATACAGAAGTGCCATATATTTATGATACATATCAGGATGTTTGCAGTTCAGCTCTTGAAGGCTGCAATGCAGTGCCGAGCACTTTCTTACCATTCCATGTTTCCACTGGTTTGTATACTACCAAACTACTTGAATGTTGCAATGGCTCTGATTGAGCCATTAGTTTCCCTGCCTCCTCCCCCTCCTACTCCTCCTCCTCCTCCTCCTTCTCCACTCCTTCTCCTTGTCAACAAGAATATTTAGCATGAAACACAGAGCTTACGCATGACAATGTTTTTGTAGAGTTCTTTGGTTGCTTAAAATGTGGTTTTTAATGTTTAAAGACTCTAAAGGAATTAAACTAGCATTTGATAAGCTTTTTGCAAAGTAAAAACACCCCTTTTTACCTGCAGATACAAATTTTAACTTCTGTCAGACTGAGATACAGAGAATGAGGGAAAACTCATTCAGCATGCGGTGCATCTTCTCAAGAGAAATGTATTTAGATGGGGAAAGTGCTGTTCTCCTAAGCATTTTATTTAAAGAATTGCCTTTTATTCACTTATGAATGAAGCCTCATTTAAGAATAAAATAAAAAACAAAAGGGAAATCTCTTTGGACAAGTGGCATTGATATACTAGTGCTAGATCTGTTTGTCTGCTCTATCCCTCTGTGCTGGGAGAGTGTAATTCAATGAGAATGAGCTCACATGCTTCTCACGGGCTGGTATCAGGGACAGCTAACTTTGAGGTTTGAACCTGGCAAGGGGCCTTTGGCTCCTCCCACACACCAGCCAGTCTTGATGCAGACATCATACCCAAACACCATAAAGTATTGCACAGGGCTTCTTGTTTGAGTCTGTCCCACAGGGAGAATTTATAGAGCCCATTTTTCTGTGAGGGCAAATATTTTGCTTTTTGGATAAGCTTTTTGGATACTGCCTCCATTTGGGTTAGATACAAAAGCATCTCCCTTCTTATTTGTATCTGTGTGGATGTATGCACATCTGCAAGAGCAGATGATTGACATTTTTCCTCTTTTTTTTCTTTTTTTCTTTTTTTTTTTTAAGAAACCAACAAATTTTATTGGTAGCAAGCTTGGAAAGTAATTTAAATGTGTTTGGAACATGTAAATAAATTTCTATAAATCCGTGTAAAAGAAAACCGACTGTATTTAATGGAACATTTATACATTTCGGAGTAACTTGGTAGTTTAATAAAGTTCCCATTTACTGGGTATGAGGTTTGTACTTTCTCCTTTCTATTACACTCTTGGCTTTGGTCCTGGAGATCTCAGGCAACTGACTCTGGGTGGGTGACTGTGGGAAGGACTCTACAGCAGAAATCGTGGTATTTGAAATCCTGGGTTTGTTTTTATATCGAGACATGCAGTTGAACTGCAGTTTCTGAACATTTCTGGGCTGGGACTTTCTGCACAGGTTTGGGTATAACATAGGAGGCATTAGATGGTAGATGCAGCACTTTGTGTACACACTGTATGTTGTGGCCAAGACAAATGTTCATGGCACTAACAAGTCTGGATCTGTCGCTATCTTCATGCCTTTGAGCTTAGCACGCTTTATTGAGAAATTCTGGTCTACAGCTCCCAGGACTGTGGAAATACAGAACAGCCTGTTTTGCAGGAGCATGTGGTGACTTTTGCACTGCAATTGTGAATTTTTCAGTTTTGTCCCATTCTCCCATTATTTTTCCTTCTTTATTGCATATGAAAGAACATCTATTCAGCAGGGAAAAAAAAGCTAAATCCAGCCAGCCTCTTTGTCCTCAGGGAACACTTCCTCTTCTCTGCTATGGAAATCATTTCTGGACTGGAATTGCTGCTTTTTGCAAACTTGTTTAGCCCCTGACTTTTCTAGTTTGGTGAGTGTCTCTCCCCGTTTGGAGTGGCAAGCACCTGCTGTCTGCCAGCGCTGAGTGACGGCTGCTGGTGGAATCTACGTGGGAAAGCCCTTCACCATCAAAAGGTGTGTCTCAAAAGTTTGTTTTTTTAAACTTCATTTTTATGTCAAAAGGGTTTATAATTACCAATTCATTATTTAAACTACCAGGTGTCAGAGACAGCAATGCCCTGTAGGTTAAATTTCCCATGCCATACAATTTTCCCAAAGGCTACCAGGGCATGGCACTCACCTGGTTGCAGTTGGCTTTCAGAAAAGGACCGAGACCTTGTCTCCTGCTTGGATCTACTGAGTGCTGATGCTTCTGACTGTGACTTGGGTCCATCAATCTCTTCTGGTCACTACTGTGGTGGCAGTAGTGAAATGAAGTGGGGGAGCCCAGGGGACCATGAGGGTAATCTGGAGCTGTGGAGCTGGTGAAGATTGAGAGATAGAGGGAAGCTGTGGGAGTAAGAGGTGCTGATTCATACTTGGAGGAATTTAATATTCACATCTCATGTGGGAACTGCATACAAATGAGGGGCTCGGTGGATCCCTCATTACAACAGCTCATTAAATTATCAAGAAAGACAGAAAGGGTTCCCATCACACCTCCCACAGTGTACAAGCCTGGACTATGTCATTCAAAATAACCCTTCAGTATCTTTCTAATCTTAGGGTCTGTCTGAGTGGATGGATGCAGACAGCCACACGCTGGCTCCTGCCTAACCCTTCCCGAGCCAGCTCAGTGCTGGGGATGTTCCCTGGGCACTGACCCCGAGCTCCCAGCCCGGGGTATCACTGCACATCCTCCCGGGCTCGGTGCCTGCGGCTCGGCCAGCCCTGCCCAGAGCCCCGCTGCCCACCCCGGCAGGGCCTGCCTGCTGCTGCTTGTGAGAACGTAATCCCTGTGAGAGAGGCCCAGCTGAACACTGCTCCTTTCAGATTTGGCTGCACAATGTTTTCCATTAACTTGATACATGCTGTTTACATCCTCCTGCTGCTAGCGCCAGAGATAACTGCCTTGGGAACAGCTCCCTACAGGTATTGTTAACAGCTGCTGGAAACAAAGGAGTTTGTTCTAGCCACGTCACTATCTAAATAGCCAAAAATACGTTACTTTTTTATTACTTGCAAGCTGATATTAAAAACTCTGTTGCGTTCCCCGGGTTGAAAGATGCATTCTGGAAATCTTGTATGCTTTTAAAGCTGGCAGCTAAAGAAGTATCTGTGCAAGCCTAAAAGAAAGTGACACTGAGGCAAAGGAATATATGAAGGTACTTGCTGCAAGGTGTGTGATTGGCACCATCAGCATCAAATACTTCCACTCAGAGAAGGTTTCAAGCCTGTGGTTGTTCCTTGCCATACAATTGGTTTCCATGCCTTTTCAGCCTGAAGGCTGAGGTTGCAGGATAGGCATTGGTTGTGTCAGCCGGCAACTTGCTCTGATTTAAAAAAAAGAAAACAAAAATCCTCAATCTGCAGCTGCTGATGTCCTGAGTTTCAGCATGGAAGCACTGGAGATATGAGCAGGTTTACTTTAGTGCTGTTGTTCAGGGTGAGGTTGGCAGTGGCTGAGCAAATGCTCAGCGAGGGTGGCCTTGTGTGCATGGAGGGGAGAGAGTTACATGAGTTTCTGAGACCGTTCACACCATCTGAAGCAGACAGACTCCCTTTGAACAGAGATGTGCCTCTTCTGCTTTTGATCAGGTCTGAACAATAGCTCCTTGTTTGTCCTATTCTATCCTTACTTGTTGGGAACAGGAGTGGAAAAAAGCAAGAAACTTTGATGCCTCCTCATGGGTCAAGTGGAGCAAAGATATAAACTCTACCTACTTTGGTTTTTGTCTTTTTAAACAATAGGACTTTGACTCATAAATAGAGCTGTTAGCTTCAAATAACTCTCTGCTGCACAGGGGCAGCAGATATTTTCAGTGGCTGCAGTGATCCAGCAGCAAAATGAGCATAAAAGCAAGAACTCTTTAGCTCCAGAGTACATCCCAGTGATTCCTCTTCTCTGAAAACAAACCCTAGCAACTGAACCCAGACAATGTTCATTTGGGTACCCAAGAGGAGCTGACTAGAAAATACTTGATTCCACTTCTAAATAATTGTTTACAATTAATTTTATTTCCCTTTATTTTTCAGTTTCTTTGTCATTAGAAGTAAAAAGGTGACTTGCAAGAGAGAACAGTAAAACAGGGCTGAGGGATACAAAGCTGCTATCACCTTCACTTCTCTGGTGCTTGCTCCTCATGGTCCTTTTCTGTAGGTTTGGGGAAACAGATTCATTGACTC